AACAAAAGCATTGATAAATGTTGATTTACCTACACCAGATTCGCCTAGAAGAAGAACATTAATAAAATTAGAAGTTGATTGCGATGGGACGTCATCGGCACGATGTTCCATTGGTGAACTCAATGAGTCTGTATTGTTGTTTGACTGCTCTTTTGGTGATTGTGCAGTTTCTGAAATACGTGATGGCGATGTATTGGATAAGCTGGTCTGTTTTGGTTCCTTTTTCAACTCTTTATTTGGTGCAGAACCATCCTTTTCCTTTGTTAATCCTGCTGATTTTAATCGTGTTTCTTTTTTCTCGATGCTGTTCAACAGTTTATTATCTATAAGTGAAGCCTCGGTGTCATTTTGCTCCAAATTTCTAGCAGGATATTGATCATTTGGAGCTACCTGAAACCGATTCGTTGAGATTTCCATCGTATTTCTCAACGATTCATCAGTTTTTTCGCTTATTGATGACGTTCTGGGTGCATTCGTTTGCTTTTGCTCCTTTGTTGACCCTTCATTTGATGCAGAAACGTGGTTTTTATTTGACGATATTTGCGATTTCAATGGTATGGTTGGTCTGTCGATGTTGTTAAGTTGTTTATTTGAAATACTTGTATCTTCGCTATCCTTTTGTTCGAGATCACTAGAGTAGTTTTTATTTTCTGGAAATATTTGAGATCGGTTTGCAGGAAGATTAGCTTCGTCTTGGAATAATTCATCAGATATTTTCTTGAGAATTGCCGTACCTTCTTCATGCGACCAAATTCCGGCCCGCACATTAACAACCAACTTACGAATTCGTTCAATGTCTGGTTGATTTGTTGTCTGCGTATTCTTTTTTGCTAATTTTTTCGTTTCAGATGATAAGTAAAGTAAACATTCTTTAATCTTTTTTTGGAATGAGGGTTTAAGTAAAATAAATTCGCGTTTTTTGGTAGAAACATTAGGGTAAAACCATTTGATGTCATGAAGACTATATTCCAATGGAAGTTGACAACGAATATGTGGCTTTTTTCTAGTTATTAATTCGTATATTCTAGCTAAGTCGTTCGTTTCCATTAGATCAAGTATATTCGAAAAGACTTGGGTAACCTTGATTCGACTAAGAGAATTTTGCTCGTCTATTTTCAATTCAAACTTATTTTTAATTAATCTATCACACATTTTTTTGAGCAATTTATCTGCAGAGATTTCATTAGAGGACGGTAATTGTAATACAACAAGAACTTGAACTCCCACTATGATTTCAGAGATAATGTGAGTTGCATCAATTGTAGGTATCTCTTTTGGAATATACTTGCTAACTACAGTTGCAGCTGAAACAACCAAATTACGCTGACTTGAATGACGATAGTAAAGAAATCGAGACTTTTTATCGTTTGGCAATGGATAATTAACTAATGAATGCATTCCTAATTCTGTTAGATTATTTAATGTAACATCTAACCATAATTCATCGTGAATACCAATTTCATGAAATAGTGCTTGAATATCAAATGTATCTATGTCCATCAGTCGACATAGTGGGGGTTCCTTAAGTGGTATGGTATTTATCGGAGTTTGACCTAATTGCAAAAACTTATCTAGAAGTATTTGATCTATTGTTGCATCATAGAAAGAACCAAGAACGCCACTTGGATTGATGGCTAAACGTCGTATGCCATCGTTACTAGACGTTGCAGAATCGACAGCATTTTTTGCTGAAGTTCCTGCCCTGTGTCGAAATCTTTGTGATAAGGAATTGGGATCAGTCATTCTGAATGCTAATTAAATCAAATCTAAAAAACAATAAAATTGAGTCTATTATACTAGGAGTTCTCCAGCTGAATGATTTACATTCGGAAAATGTTCCATAGAGATTTACTCTTTTGTTTCCTTAAGCATGTGTACGTTTTGACTTCTATAATTTTAGTATATTTCTGTTTTGCCATAATATTAATAAACAGCTCAACGTAAGTAGAAAAAGATTTTCTACTTTATACTATTTGTATTAACCTCATTTCTTCTCCTCCATACATTTTCAAAACTGATTTCATTAGTTTTCGATTTTAGTTGATTGGAATATTCGAGAAAGGCTATTTCTTTAACAAAGACTCTTCAATCTCTGTGATACATTTTGATTGAGACATCGTTTTGCATCAAATGAGAGGGTTTAAAATTCGGCACAAAATGTTACACTTTACTTGACAAATATGTTCGATTGAGTTTTTTTCGGATCAAGCATGATAGCATAGTAAAATAAAGTGCCGAATGTACATAGGTTTTCTGGTTTGAATATTTTCAAGAGAAGGTTTCATTTCATTTATCAATGCTGTCTTTTTTTTTGTTTTACGGTTAGAATTCAAACCTTCGGATGGTTCGTGCCATGAACTAGTAAAATTATCATACTTAGCAGGGCGAGCTGTGGNAAAAGGAATTTTGCGTAATGTTTTTCTGGGAATATAAAATAGGCTACATTTTTGTATTTCGATTCTAAGTCTTAGCTTTGAGCAGTACTTCTGAAGTTTGTCTTTATAAATAAAAACTCGGTGTATCTACCTATCATTTAGAAAAACAATAGTTGATCAAGTGAAATTAAATAGCAAAGATATACAAAAAATTTAAGTGGAAGGGACTTTTGGGACACCCGGTATGTATTACATTCGGTATCAACGCTAAGTGACATGAGTCGATGACAAAGACGATCCTATACTGGAAAATAATAAAATTGTGCGCTCTATCTTTGCTTCTTTTTATTATCGCACTGTATTTATTTTTAAACATATGATACTTAGTGAGTAGGTACAAAACAAACTGTATCTTATGGTATATATATGCATCAGCTTTGCATGTATTAAATCGAAAATACTATCTCAATTACTATATAATTTCTATTTCTAATGAATGCAAATTTTGTAAAAATAGAAAAAGAGAGTTGTGTAATTGATAAGCGAAGTTCATGTTGACCTTGAACTCATATGTTAAGAAGTAGTATTAGAAGTGTATTCCATTATTTAGACGCAACGCATCCATACGAATGTGAAAAACACGAATGGGGGCGGGTGTGAATGAGATGTGGTCGTATACTTTCTCCTCATCTACACCCACGCACACCCACACACCTTTTTTCTTCCAGACCCTTCGACCGATTCAGCTAAAACTTTTTGTGTAGCAACTACAAACATATCGGGTGGTATATGTTTTTTTTTCTTTTCCTGAAATAATGTTCTAGTGGTTTTTGGCAGATTTTACAAAATTTGCTTTAGGGAGAAAAAACACGTTTTTTGATAGGGCTTTCAGTATTTCAGTTATCTCAAGCGAAGAAAACAAATGTGTACAACCCTATTTGGTCAAAAAAAATTCAGCCATAAATAATGAGTTTTGTCTGTTTGCGAGGGGGGGGGGAACTTTAGGTCATTTTTGGTACCTGCGCTCTCTATATCTCACAAAAGGAAGCATCTGGGAATTTTGAGTTTATGACAACTTTTACTCTACCAGTTGAGATCTATTTACCCTGAAAATTTCATAACTTTAGGTCGAGCCATTCTTGAGAAACCCTGAAAAGGAGATGCCCTTAAGCATAAATTGTGAAATGATGTATTTACTGATGAAACAAAATTAGCGAGGAGTTTACTATGTTGCTCAGAGTGAATATACTATAAGATGCAACCCAATCTGTACTTTATCACAATATAGAATATATTTAAAAATAAATGATTGACTTTCATTGTATTTCTTCCATTGCATAGATTTAGTGGTTCATGATTGTGAATACTCGAGAGTATTATGAGCAAGAGAACTAGATACTATAGCTTTAAAAAAGATACACGATAGAACAAATGATACTTTCGCAGTATTTATATCTTGCTGGTCCATTCTTATCTATGCTAATAAGCACAATGTTCTCTGTTACTATACTTTTCATAGGGTCGAAGTTTGATGTGTCTGAAGAGAAATACATGTTTTTGAACAACACTAAATAAAAAATTACAATAAAATATCATTAAAATCAATCTCTGAGTAGATTATTTTGATTCGAAGAATATGAATAATGAAGAAAATGAGAAAAAATATGTATTAGATTTTATTTTTCATTCAAGTACGTAAATAAAAAAAGATGAATTTTACAAATGAACATAAGGTAGATATGTAATTCGTATGTGCTTCTATGACATATATCCATGATAATTCATTCAAATATGTATGAAATCTCCTTGTCATATTTCTTCAAGTGATTTTCTAAACTTTGTTTGGTAACATCCAATTGTTTCTTCATCTCATCAATTATACCGATACTTTCAATTAGTTCATAGGTGTTTGATACATCGATAGCTGGACAATTTGATTTTAATGCATTCTGCTTCTTTTCGTATTCTTCTTTTAATTCAATCAATTTCTTTCGTAAATTTGAGTTCAGACATTGAGAACCTTTTTCTGAACAAATTTGACTTTCTTCAGCAATTATCTTATTGAGAAAAATCAACAAAAAATCCTTTTGTTTTGAAATACTAGAAATATAAACATAAAAATGAGCTAACTCTAAAATAACTTCTTTAAGTTGATTGAAATTCGACTTCATCTCAATAATAGATGATTGATCCACGTCATGCCAAGTTTCATATTCAAGTTTGTAATTGACATTAATGTGTTTCATATGACCACAATTGCACTTGCTAGTCCTTTCAAGAACTAAATGTAAATCATCAGGTAGTATCCACATTCCGTTAAATTCCTTAGGAGTACGTTTGCACTCAGAACAAATACTTGAAGACTGTGAGATAGCAACAGTTTTAAGTTTTATTAGTGCTTTCGATTTTTTTTCATCTAGTAATGTAATATTTCGAAGAATATTTCGCATTGCTTCTAAAGTTGGACGAATTATTTCATTAACTTTAAGTTGTAAATGTTCACTCGAGTACCATTCAATATCAATAAAAGATGTCAGTTCTTCAGAAATATATTTGAAAAGACGATTTGATTCAGTTACTGAAACTTTCCAACTCGATCGATATTCTTCTTCTTGATATTTATCAAATTTAATTCCATCTTGAACAGCAACCAAATAACGAAATGATTCATTATCAAACGAAAAAGTATTCGATTTATTGAATGGAATATGTTTATCTGGTACACTATTAATCATTTTTTTCAGTAGTCGAGCTGTATCACCTGGAGCATAAAATGTTGCTCGAGTGTTCGTAAAACAAAAGACAATATTATGGCAAGCATTTTCACCAAAAAAATTAAGCAAACGATTGAAATATGATCGAAGAATAATATTCAGTCTTGATTCATTCGGTTTAAGAAGTATACAAATGGCATTTAAATGTGATAGATTATTGATGAATAACAAAATATTTTGCATATTAAGATCGTCTTGATCTAGACCGCGACTATCACCAATTCCAGGTGTATCAATTATTCTCAAATTCATTTCTTCATTCATTTTAAAAACATATGATCTACAATGTTGAGTTACTGATTGACCCGGATGATTATGATCTTCATTAGAATCATCGCCACCAAATTTAACAATTCGTTCTTCAAATTGATCACCAATTGTGATAAGAAATGAAACAGGCATGAGTACTACAGGTTTACTCGAACAAGCTTTTTCGAAAGTGTCAAATTGGAGATAATTAACAAAAGCATTGATAAATGTTGATTTACCTACACCAGATTCGCCTAGAAGAAGAACATTAATAAAATTAGAAGTTGATAGAGATGGGACGTCCTTGGCACGGTGTTCCATTGGTGAAGTCGATGAGTCTGCGTTATTGTTTGACTGCTCTTTTGGTGATTGTGCAGTTTCTGGAATATGTGATAGCGATGTATTAGATAGTCTTGTTCGTTTTGGTTCCTTTTTCAACTCTTTATTTGATGCAGAACCATACTTTTTCTTTGTTAATCCTGCTGATATCAATCGTGTTTCTTTTTCCTCGATGTTGTTCGATTGTTTACCATGAATTCTTGAATCTCGAGCATCAACTTTCTCTAAATTGCTAGTAAGTTTTTCATCACTCAAAGACGTCTGAGAACGCGTCGTAGGAATCCTAATCTTATTTTTCATTGATTCATCAAATTTCTCCGTTATTAATGATGTATTGGTTACACTGGTTTGTTTTTGCTCAGTGGTTAACTCTTCATTTGACGTAGGAGCATCTTTTTCCTACGGTAACCTGCTGATTTCAATCGAGTATGTTTTTTCTCGATGCTATCCGACTGATTATGATGAATAATTGATTTCATTTCGCAACAAATTTCTAGCAGAATGTTGATCATTTGGAGCTACCTGAGACCGATTCGTTGAGATTCTCATTGTATTTTGCAATGATTCATCAGTTTTTTCGCTTATCAATGACGTTCTGGGTGCATTCGTTTGCTTTTGCTCTTTTGTTGACCCTTCATTTGATGCAGAAACGTTGTTTTTATTTGACGATACTTGAGATTTTAATGATGTGGTTGGTCTGTCGATGTTGTTAAGTTGTTTATTTGAAATATTTGCATCTTCGCTGTCCTTTTGTTCGAGATCACTAGAATAGTTTTTATTTTCCGGAAATATTTCAGATCGGTTTGCAGGAAGATTAGCTTCGTCTTGAAATAGTTCATTGGATATTTTCTTGAGAATTGTCATACTTTCCTCATGCGACCATATTCCTGCTCGGATATTAACAACCAACTTACGAATTCGTTCCATATCTAGTTGATTCGTTGTCTGCGTATTTTTTTTTGCTAATTTTTTCGTTTCAGATGATAAGTAAAGTAAACATTTTTTAATGTTTTCTTGGAATAGGGACTTAAGCAAAGTAAATTCACATTTTTTGGTAGAAACATCAGGATAAAACCATTTGATGTCATGAAGAGTATATTACAATGGAAGTTGACAATGAATGTGTGGCTTTTTTCTAGTTATGAATTCGCATATTCTAGCTAAATCGTTCGTTTCCATTAGATCAAGTATATTCGAGAAGACTTGGGCAACCTTTATTCGACTAAGACAATTTTGCTCGTCTATTTTCAATTCAAACTTATTTTTTACTAATCGATCACATATTTTTTTAAGCAACTTATCAGCAGAGATTTCATTAGAGGACGATAATTGTAATACAACAAGAACTTGAACTCCCACTATGATTTCAGAGACAATGTGAGTTGCATCAATTGTAGGTATCTCTTTTGGAATAGACTTGCTAACTACAGTTGCAGCTGAAACAACCAAATTACGCTGATTTGAATGATATCATTTGGCAATGGACAATTAACTAATGAATGCATTTCTAATTCTGTTAGAATATTTAATGTAACATCTAACCATAATTCATCGTGAATACCAATTTCATGAAATAGTGTTTGAATATCAAATGTATCTATGTCCATCAGTCGACATAGAGGGGGTTCCTTAAGTGGTATGGTACTTATTGGAGTTCGACCCAATTGTAAAAGCTTATCCAGAAGTATTTGATCTATTGTTGCATCATAGAAAGAACCAAGAACATCACTTGGATTGATGGCTAAACTTCGTATGCCACCGTTATTAGGCGTTGCAGAAGCAACAGAATTGTTTGCTGAAGTCTCTGCCATGTGTCGAAATCTTTGTGATAAGGAATTGAGATCAGTCATTCTGAATGTTGATTAAATCAAATAAAAAAAGAATAAAATTGAGTCTATTGAACAAGGAATTCTTCAGTTAAATGATTTACATTAGAAAAATGTTCCATAGAGATTTACTCTTTTATCTCCTTAAGCATGCGTACGTTTTGACTTCTACAATTTTAGTATATTTCTGTTTTGTGTAACATATCGCTTGCTTTGTAAGATGCCAAGTAGAAGGCTGAATCGTAACAAAAGGGATACAGTGATACTGGCCTTCAGTATTAATAAACAGATCAACATAAGAAGAAAAAAGGATTTTCTACTTTATACTATTTGTATTAACCTCATTTCAATACCATTCATTTCTTCTTCTCCATACATTTTCAAAACTGATTTCATTATTTTTCGATTTTAGTTGATTGGAATGTATTAGAAAGGCTATTTCTTTAACAAAGATTCTTCAATCTCTCTGTTATATCTAGATTGAGATATCTTTTTGCATCAAATGAGAGGGTTTGAAATTCTGCACAAAATGTTACACTTTACTTAATAAATATGTTCCATTGAGTTTTTTTCGGCTCAAGTATGATAGCATAGTAAATTAAAGTGCCGAATGTACATAGGTTTTCTGGTTTGAATATTTTCAAGAGAAAGTTTCATTTCATTTATCAATTCTGTCTTTTTTTTGTTTTATTGTTAGAATTCATAGCTTCGGATGGTTCCTGCCATGAACTGGTAAAATTCTCATACTGAACAGGTCTAGCTGTGCGTATATAGATCTGCTTGTGATACACTCTGTAGACATGCGCCCATACCCATATTGAGATTCAGCTCTTATAATCAAAGAATGTAGTGAAATTTCGTTTCTCAGATTATATATGAAGTGGTATAAAACAATCAAATTTTAATTCAATGTCGAAAATAATTTAGGGTCTATTACCATGTTTGCTGAGGATTTCTCCTGATTTTTTAAAATGTTTTTCAGCTTATAGAAGACTACATTTTTATTTCAAGGTGTCGATGGTACTATAGGTGTTTCTGTCACTCATAAATACGTGTAAAATTTTCCACTTCTGAAAGCAAGACGTACATCTCCATAAGATGAAATGCACCTGAAAGCCGTCAATGATCCCATTCTAGTTTGAAATCGAAAGTTTTTTGTTTAATCCTAATTTGAAATTAAATAGATCATCGTATAAAAATAACTATGTATGTATATAACAGAGTAACTGCTTAAATCATTTAAAACTCCACACGAAACACAGAATTCATGATAGTACAAGGTTTACATGTGCTTAAAAGTTAGGAAATTACTTTTTTGTGTAAGAAGGACTATGAACTAGAGAAGTTTTAGCGTCAATTGATCATCTTCTATCAGTTGAATAAATCACTCATCATCTACTTCTAAGTAAACCCTTAATGAGAAAACTTCGATTCTTGAAAAATTACATGTCACTCGCTCTGTTCATTAATTACCATATGTGACAGAATAAAAACACCCTTCAGCTACTTCTTATTCGTTTCCTTTAGTTAAAACACTCGTTTATCATTCATAGAATGATTGTATAACTATTATGATCCCATAGTGCTCTTAGAGTTCTTGAAGTGCTGATGACTTTTACAATTTCTTAGGTTCTAGATTTCTTAGAATTATATTTAGTTTTTTTAAAGAATGTTTAGGTTATCAACATTCAATAAATGTAGAATTGATGAAATTTAACTAGGTCTCTTTTATGACCTTAAATTAAATTCATTTGCAGCTGTCTTTTCTATAATTATTGTCGGTAAAAAGAACACCAAGGCAAGATGTTTGCCGTGTTTTAAAACCACGTTAGCTTTGCTTCTGTTTACTACACATAACATCATAGATAAAAATAGAAAACTCAATAAAAACATTGAAAACAAAGCAATTGATTCTTTTATTTCAGGTAATATTTATTAATTTCAAAATGTTTTCCTAGTAATATTACTATTCTAAAAATCAAAAAATTAAATAATCGAACTAATTATTTTTGTAAAGTGAGTTATGCCTCGAGGATGATAGAAATCCGACTCCATGATAAAAGTAAATTTTACCTGATATCTATAGTATGTATTGACAATCACATTCAGATGTGCAAAAACTAAACATATAATTGTAGACTCATCGAGATTGTCTAGAATGCTATGGACAAGCTCAACAGATAATGCCAGAAAAGATGCAAAGACTTTTTCAGACACTAATCTTTTTCTTTTTCGAACAGAATGTTTCGTTAAAATGAATGTTAGTTGCAATTCTTTTTTCTTCATATAGGTGCATTTATTTCAGTTCTCTGTGCAAATTAAAAAAATGCATCCTCATGATGCAGGTTGATGACATACTGCAAATAAATACACCTATATGAAGAAAAAAGAATTGCAACTAACATTCATTTTAACGNTTTATCGGAGTTTGACCTAATTGCAAAAACTTATCTAGAAGTATTTGATCTATTGTTGCATCATAGAAAGAACCAAGAACGCCACTTGGATTGATGGCTAAGCGTCGTATGTCATCGTTACTAGACGTTGCAGAATCGACAGTATTTTTTGCTGAAGTTTCTGCCCTGTATCGAAATCTTTGTGATAAGGAATTGGGATCAGTCATTCTGAATGTCGATTAAATCAAATCTAAAAAAGAATAAAATTGAGTCTATTATACAAGGAGTTCTCCAGCTGAATGATTTACATTCGGAAAATGTTCCATAGAGATTTACTCTTTTGTTTCCTTAAGCATGCGTACGTTTTGACTTCTATAATTTTAGTATATTTCTGTTTTGCCATAATATTAATAAACAGCTCAACGTGAGTAGAAAAAGGTTTTCTACTTTATACTATTTGTATTAACCTCATTTCTTCTCCTCCATACATTTTCAAAACTGATTTCATTAGTTTTCGATTTTAGTTGATTGGAATATTTGAGAAAGGCTATTTCTTTAACCAAGATTCTTCAATCTCTGTGATACATTTTGATTGAGACATCGTTTTGCATCAAATGAGAGGATTTAAAATTCGGCACAAAATGTTACACTTTACTTGACAAATATGTTCGATTGAGTTTTTTTCGGATCAAGCATGATAGCATAGTAAAATAAAGTGTCGAATGTACATAGGTTTTCTGGTTTGAATATTTTCAAGAGAAAGTTTCATTTCATTTATCAATTCTGTCTTTTTTTTTGTTTTACGGTTAGAATTCAAAGCTTCGGATGGTTCGTGCCATGAACTGGTAAAATTCTCATACTAAACAGGTCTAGCTGTGCGTATATAGATCTGCTTGTGATACACACTGTAGACATGCGTCCATACCCATATTGAGATTCAGCTCTTATAATCAAAGGATGTAGTGAAATTTCGTTTCTCAGATTATATATGAAGTGGCGTAAAACAACCAAATTTCAACTCAATGTCGAAAATAATTTAGGGTCTATTATCGAGTTTTCTAAGGATTTCTCCTGGTTTTTTAAAATATTTTTCAGTTTATAGAAGACTACATTTTTATTTCAAGGTATCGGTGGTACTATAGGTTTTTCTCTCACTCCTAAACACACGCAAAATTTCCACTTCTGAAAGTAAGACGTACATCTCCATAAGATGAAATATATCTCAAAGTCGTCAATAACCCCATTCTAATTTGAAATCGAAAGTATGTTTTTTTCAATTCCAATTTTAAATTAAATAGATCATCGTATAAAAATAACTATGTACGTGTATAGCAGAGTAACTGCTTAAATTATTTGAAACTTCACACGAAATGCAGAATTCATGATTTGAAAAGGTTTACATGTGCTTAAGTTAGGAAATTACTTTTTTGTGTAAGAAGGACTATGAACTAGAAAAGTTTTAGCGTCAATCGATCATCTTCTATCAATTGAATAAATCACTCATCATCTACACCTAAGTAAACCCTTATTGAGAAAATTTCGATTCTTGAAAAATAGCATGTCACTCGCTCTATCCATTAATTACCATAGGTGACAGAGTAAGAACGCACTTTAGCTACTTCTTATTCGTTTCCTTTAGTTAAAACACTCGTTTAGCATTCATAGAATGATTGTATAACTATTATGATCCCATAGTGCTCTTAGAGTTCTTGAAGTCCTGATAACTTTTACAGTTTTTTAGGCTCTGGACTTCTTAGAATTATATGTAGCTTTTTTAATGAATGTTTAGGTTTTCAACATTCGAGACATGTAGAATTGATCAAATTCAACTAGATCTCTTCTAAGACCTTCAATTAAATTCATTTGCAGCCATCTTTTCTATAATTGTTGTCGGAAACAGAAAACACCAGGACAAGATGTTCGCAGTGTTTTAAAACTACGTTAGCTTTGCTTTTGTTAAGTACACATAACATCACAGATAAAAATAGAAAACTCAATAAAAACATAAAAAATGGCTTGGACACAACAATTGATTCCTTTATTTCAGGTAATATTTATTAATTTCAAAATATTTTCCTAGTAATATTACTATTCTAAAATCAAAAAATTAAAGAATCAAACTAATCATTTTTGTGAAGTGAGTTATGTCCCGAAGATGATAGAAATTGGACTCCATGATAAAAGTAAATTTTACCTGGAAACGATAATATATGTTGACGACCATATTCAGACGTGCACGAACTTCGCGAACTGAACATATAATAGCTGATTCATCGAGATTGTCTAGAATGCGATAGACAAACTCAACAGATAATGTTAGAAAAGATGCAAAGACTTTTTCAGACACTAATCTTTTTCTTTTTCGAACAGAATGTTTCGTTTAAATGAATGTTAGTTGCAATTCTTTTTTCTTCATATAGGTGTATTTATTTGCAGTATGTCATCAACCTGCATCATGAGGATGCATTTTTTTAATTTGCACAGAGAACTGAAATAAATGCAACGAGACCAACACAATAGAAAAGTAAAATCGTTTATGTAACTATAAATATAATTTTGCTTTCATCCACATTTCATAGAAGAATTTTCAATATATGTTTCTAATTGGATCTGGAACGTGGGCAGAGT